ATTTTATTTCAGTAATTTTTCATTCAAAATATTGTTTAATAAATATTGTTAAACTATTTTATTTAATCCCAACATGGTGTTTAAAAAAAACGCATCCCTGAGTTTCGCATCTCGCATTATTTCCGCATGTTTATGGAATGACTTGAGGCAGAGTAAACGATGATCAGTTCATAATTTAATAACAGCAGTGTTTTCCCCTGTCGTATGCATCTGTGTGTGTGAATGGAGAGCTCCAGTGTGTGTGAGGGACGCAGGAGGTCTGGACGCCTCGTACAGAAAAACAGACGTGTCTTATAAGACTGAACGTCTGACCGATTTCCCCGGTGACATCAGACATTTTCAAAGGCGTTTGTGTTTGGGCAGCAGGCCGTCAGTATATGATTCAACAATATTATCATGGAGAGCGCATCAATAACACATCTGCCATCTCAAACAGATGTTTGGAGCCGTTCCTCCGATCCGCTCCGGGAGTGCCAATGTTGTGCTGTTGCCATGGAGACGTGAACCACGCCCTCCGGTGGTGCATGGAGGAGCTACACCAGCTGACTGTGAGTGTCTGAGGTAGATTTGTCTGAATTCCAGCACTACTGACACATGCGAGCAGCACAGCTGACATGCTTTACCATCACATCATGCACTCATATCACTGATATAATCTCTCATGCACTCATATCACTGATATAATCTCTCATGCACTCATATCACTGATATAATCTCTCATGCACTCATATCACTGATATAATCTCTCATGCACTCATATCACAGTAAATAGGAGTGAATATGTTTGATGATTTGAACTGATTCTCAGCTGATGGAGGTGTTGTGTGTTTGAAGGGTTGCCATGTCCTCTTATTGTAAGCAGTGTTTGAGTGTCATTGAGTTTGAAAGGTCAGTTCACACTAAAATTACAGATCTGGCATCCTTTACTCTCTCTACACTTGTTCCAAACCTGTCTGAGTTACTAAAGAACATCACGCACACACACTCACATGCGCACACAAATACACACACGCACACAGTTGGATAAACTAAGACAATTAAATACACACTCACATATACACGCACACAGACACTCAAACACATGCAGACACACTTGGATATACTCAGACACTCATACAAAAATACACACACACACACACACACGCATGCACACTCATAGATTAAGACTCACATACATAAGACATAAACACACACTTGGACAGACACACTCATACAAATATACACACACTCACAAACACACACATGCACACACACTTGGACACACTCAGACACTCACTCATAGAAAGACATACACACATACATGGGCACACACTTGGACACACACTAAGACACATTCATACAAATACACACACACAATCACATACACTTACACACAAACAGACAAACACACACATGCACACACACTTAGACACACTCAGACGCTCACTCATACAAATACACATACACACTTAGACACACACACACACACACACACACACACACACACACACACACACACACACACACACACACACACACACACACACACACACTAAAATACACACAGACATAAATGCACATGCACACACACACTCATACACTCACAAACACTCACATGCACACACACACACTCAGTCACTCACTCATACAAATACACACACAGAAACACACACACACTTGGACACACGCATACAAACACACACACACACACACACACACACACACACACGCACACACACTTGGACACGCTCATACAAATACACACACACACACACACTTACACACAAACAGACAAACACAAACTTGCACACACATTTGGACAAACTCATACAAACACACACACACACACACACAGACACGCATACACTCACACAAATACACACACTCACACACACACACACACACACACACACACACACACACACACACACACACACACGCACACACACACACAGTTGAACCCAAAATAGCTGCGCCGCTCCTGACCCAGCAGTTGAGTGTGAGCGTGTGGACTGAAGCGGAAAGGCTTTACCGCAGGTTCAGACGACAGAGCTCCATTCAGCCCTGCGCAATAATGTCTTCATCTGACCTGCTCTGCGCTCACACACTCGCGCTCAAAGCAAACACAGACGGCGTGCAGGATAATATTTGCGCATGTGTGTGAGTGTGTGTCGCAGTTAAAGACAGAAATATCTGCGCAGGTGATCCTTAAATCCATTCTCACATGTAGAGTTGATCTGCAGACGGCTCTCAGCAGCCAAACACACACACATGAGCAGAGCTGAGCTTATTATGGGATGCTGAAGACCTGTCATGGCACAACTGACCTGGAGCCAACTGGTTTCCACACCTGCTTCTGATGGAGGATGATGGAGAAAATGCAGAGCAGAAACAGACTTTGTGCTCCTGTTAAAGCAGATTAGAAATAGTGTTCATTCATTCATCCATTCATTCATTCATTCAGCTTAGTCCCTTTATTCATCAGGGGTCTCCACAGCAGAATGCACCGCCAACTATTCCAGCATATGTTTACACAGCGGATGCCCTTCCAGCCGCAACCCAGTACCCACATCAACTCACGCCAACACAGGGAGAACATGCAAACTCCACACAGAAACGCCAACTGACCCAGCCGAGACTCAAACCAGAGACCTTCTTGCTGTGAGGCCACAGTGCTGACCACTGAGCCACCGTGCCACCTATTTTGCATTAATGTACATTCAAATATTTGAATGATTTAAAGGGGCAGTTCACCCAATAATGATCATTTCCTCATCATCTGCTCACATTCAAGTGGTTGTGGCTTCTGTTGAGCACACAACGAGATATTTAGAAGAATGCTGGGGAAAAAGCAGCTGTTGGCATCTGGCCAATACGGAGCACTGCTGGTCTCAGTACTCGGACCTTTCCCTTCATTTATTCATTCATTCATTCATTCATTCATTCATTCATTCATTCATCCATCCATTTATTTATCTATCCATTTATCCATCCATCCATCCATCCATCCATCCATCCATCTATCTATTTCTCCCTCCATTCATCCATCCATCTTTCCATCTATCTCTCATACATCCATCAATTCATCTATCCACCCCTTTATTCATCCATCCATTCATCCATCCATCCATCCATCCATCCATTCCTCCTTCAACCATCTATTCATCCATCCATCTTTCTATCCCTCTGTTCATCCATGCATTCATCCATCCATCCATCAATCTATCTTTCCCTTCATTCATTCATTCATTCATTCATTCATTCATTCATTCATTCATTCATCCATTTATTTATCCATCCATCCATCCATCCATCCATCCATCCATCCATCCATCCATCCATCCATCCATCCATCCATCCATCCATCCATCACACACACATGACCTTTGACCTATAACCTGAGCAACAAAATCTATCTATCTATCTATCTATCTATCTATCTATCTATCTATCTATCTATCTATCTATCTATCTATCTATCTATCTATCTATCTATCTATCTATCTATCTATCTATCTATCTATCTATCTATCTATCTATCTATCTATCACACACACATGACCTTTGACCTATAACCTAAACAACAAATAAATGTCAATCATGTCGTTACACATATTAATAATGTTTTATTTCCCACCTATAAGAAATAAATTGATGCCATCCACCTGTAGATACGTAGATGAAGAGGCGCCCTCTAGTGTACCTAGGGTGATAATGGTCTGTGTTCGAACTGGCTAAAATGTGCAATGACGTTAGCTGTTTCGAACATTACAGGGGGCGCTAAACTGCGGTTTTCTCTGTGTTATTATCTATGATGTTTAACAGAGTAAATGAATGTTCACAGTATGTCAGATAATGTTTTTTTTCTTCTGG